AATTGAAGCAAAGCGCAAAGAAGTCGTATGCAAATTAGGTCTCTTAAAATGTGCTTCTCGACGCCCTCACTGTACTCTTTATTTTTGGGGCCAGGACTAAAATTAATCCAAATCCAAAGGCCATTTGCATGATGGCGTAACTTTACTACAACTACCAGAGAGCCTTGCGCATTATCATTGTTATTCAGATTTTTAATCCCCTTGGAGATTGAAAAAACAATTTGGCACTAATGGCATTACATAAGAAAGTTGGCAAAGCATTCTGGTAGTTGTAGTAAACGACGCCATAATACAAATCGGGTATTATCCGGATTTGCACGATAGCGACAATTTTTTGCGCAGACCGGACTATATGGGTGCATCAGCGCCGTGTACAAGGCACAACCATATATGGAAGTTGAACGACAGATCATTCTCTTGTCAAGAGCTATATCAGGAGAAGCCGACGGGGTCTGTTCTTCTAATTAACTGTTCTTTCCTTCCTGGGAAAGGGATTTTGAGCTACATTGTTGACAACCTAACACGCAAATGTGACGTTTTTAAGGTCAAAAAAGTCTTATATAATATTTTTATGGTCAAAAACTGCTTATATTTTTTTAGTTAAGAAATTTTTATTTTCCTGGCAAAAATTCTTAGAAAGTATTCCTTGCCTGGAGAGTTCTTTCAATTGCCTATGTTAACAAGCTGCTTTGCTACTTTGGACTCTGGTCTTTGTTCTTTTTGTTTATATGTGAGTCACTGTGAGAAGACCCAAAGCCGAGCAGGGGACTGTGGAAGTGTCTAGAAAATTTTCTCAACTCAATACTTTTCCTGCTATATATTTTTAATTCAATCAAATGATTACTCATTCGCCATTCAAAAGATATATACATCGTGTTTATTATTTTCTTTTCTATGATGTGATAATGATGAAGCATTTTTACCAGCAGTGCTGCCGTTCATACTGATATATCATCATGAAACTGCTGAAGGAGAATTTCAAAGGAATCAGAATATTTATTTGCTTTTTTCGTTTGTTCATAATAGTATTCTAAAATGTCAGTTTTGTGATGTCTTAATTGTCAATCTTTCTGGTAAAGCAGTTCAATGTTTCATTTGTGTACTTTAAGCAGTGTTTTACTAAAACSTGTTCAACGAAAGGTGCCACTATGGCACCACCTAAAGCACCAATACCCAATCCAAATGTTGTCAAGCCTATAGATAATTCCCGTACCCTCAGATCTTCGATTTCCCCAACAATAACACTTACATTAGCAAAGACAGCACCACAGCTAARCGCTAACGTAAYCATCAGAACTAATGGGARCCATACATTTGGCAAGAACCGATACAGTGAAGCGAAAATGAAAGCCAACATGTGACAGACAGACATCACTACAAGAATCCAAGTGTGACGTATGAGAATCTTGTCTGCAAGACCTTGTTTGATAAGGTCTGCCCATCCAAGATAAGATCGTCCAACAAAGAGACCAGCAAAGGTCATAACAACATAGTATTTAAAGTGATCAGATGCTGAGAAAGGAGAATTGCTGAAAGCCAGTGTAGTTACAACTCCGCTGGACGTCATATTGTACACCGCATCTGCAAGCGCTATTTGTGTTATTTTMGGGAGAGCTTTACAGAAGTGATAAAACTTTTCATATAATGTCAAAAAACTGTCAAATTTGGTTTTGCTGTTGTCGTAGGATTCGTCGACGATTGTTTGGTAACCCATTCTTACTTTGTGACGTCGGTCATCCAGCAATAAATAGCAGGTAAGAAATACGCACGGTTGTAAAATGACAACAGCTGAAATAGCAATCTTGTAGGAAATGTGGAACCAGCTTGTCATTGCTGCAAATATATTACATTTGTTATATTAGCACCGATCAATAGCAAACMTCAGGGGAGGCGGAACCGGTACAGCCATGGGGAGCACTAAATATGGGTTAAGTGTTAATAAAAATAAAAATAATYTTTTGTGGGGTACTTGTATTCCTTATTGAATGATAATCACACATAGTTATAAAAGAAATAATAGAATCTATATGAAGGAAGCGAAGGTTTGAAAGCCTRGTGCGGTTTACCTGTGTAATATATTGGTCCAAATATGAAACCAAACCCTGTTCCCATACAATATGATTTCACAGCGCTCTTCTCAAAGTAGCCTGTCYAACTGATTGCTGTTACGTCAGCTGTYGAATCAGTTATGCCAAGAAAACAAATCCCCAGATATATCAGCCAAACTTTACGCGCAGAGAAGAGAATGCAACTCAGGCCAACTGCAGCCAGTGGAAACAAGGRCAGTATAAGAAAGAGTGGCGGCAACCGGTCGAATACATAYGGYATCGCAAAGTGCAGAATTGGCGAGGGAATTAAAGTTGCAATCCATGTAGAACCTAAAAAAGTAGACTCAGCAATTATTCAATCCTATAATTAGGTGATAATCAATTAATTCACCATACACTGTGGATGATAAAATGCATGCAGCAACTCATTCCACTAGYTTCACGCTATGGCCTCCCTCATGCCAATTATTCAAAGCTCAGCAGTTTCTTCATGTTCTATTAGTGGTCTGCGTGCAAAGCAATTTTTTTTTTAATTACATATTAAATATGTTAAAGAATAAAAACATATATACAGCAAAAAAAAAAGAAAAAGAATGCGATCATCAATTGTTTGCTTCCGGCACAATTGACATAGTATAAATCTTATAATTCATACTTGAAATTAAAGCAAAACGAAACTTCCTAAAAATTTACAAATACAGAATACGCTCTCATTCCCGTTTGCAATTATGGGCTATCAATTTTGCTAGAGCGGATTTCGTATGACCGTGCAAAAATCACGGTGCTTTCGCATTGTGACCGTATCGTGCCTTAGCGGTGATGTATTGTTAAATCTTTATTTTTATTTGGTAACCCTACGAAGGCGAGGGTCTGTGACCGTGCCGTGCCTTGTCCGTGTTAGTCCATCACCTGAGACCCGAAAATGTGTGTCTAATACTCATCTCAGGGGAACAAATAAGACTGATTGGACGTGAAAGTACATCTATTAAGCTTTAAAAAAA